ACACACACACACACACACACAAGAACACAAACATATGCTATTCATTACCCAAAATAGTGATATAATGTTCATAAAACATGCATAATATAGGCGATGTGGAGTCCAGCCCGTACTACTACAAGTTCCTGCGCGCGCTGCTGCGGCTGCTGGCCGCCGACGATAGCCTGCTCGAGGACCGCGGCGCCTTCATCATCAGGCAAGTCGCCTTCCGCCGCTGCTCCCGCTTCTCCGCTCATAGGCCGAGGTGACGACTGGATCCGCCCGTGTGCAGGCAGCTGTGCGTGCTGCTGAACGCCGAGGACATATACAAAGCGCTGGCCAGCATCCTGGTTGAGGAGAGCAACTTGCGCTTCGCCGCCACCATGGTGGACGTGCTGAGCACCATGCTGCTCACCGCCGCCGAGCTGCACCACCTGCGCCTGCAGCTGCGCCGCATGGACCAGCCGGTGAGTGCGGCGCCCCCCGTCCCCCGCGATGCTCGGGGCGGGGGGTGCACAGTACAGTGCGCGGTGTGCGTGTGCGTGTGCGCAGGGGTCGGCGCAGCTGCTGCGAGGGCTGTACCGGTGCTGGTGCCACAGCCCCGTGGCGCTGCTGGCGCTCTGCCTGCTGACTCATCACTACGAGCACTGCAACGCCCTCATCGCAACATTGTATCCTTTTCATGCTCCTACTGCCCGACACCATTCTTAGGAAAACCAATATTATTATGTGCATCCTTTTCTCTGGTGGTACGGTTTGGCGGCGCGGCTGCGACTTATGATTTTGTTGTCGAAGCTTTTCTATCATATTATAATATAAGTAAGATACGTAGATTTGACTCACGAGGTTATCGCCACGTGGCGTATGAAATCGACTATCATTATTCCGACAGTCGTATCGGTGAATGGACTGATAGCGAACAGTTTCGACCGACATCTCAACAAGGTCTCGCTAAACAGTTTGATTAAGGGGCCGATACAAAAGGCAGTTAATCTAGAAACCGCATCATGAGATGGTTCCTGTCTCTGCAGCTCTGACCTCTGGTTGCTCGAGTCATGGGATCCCGCAGCCGGTGGTGCTCTAACTTTTAACATAATATATTTTGCATTATTTTTAATTTCATATATCAAATGTACTATATTAATAATATAATAAATAAATACGTGAATAATAAGCGAGATATGTCTACGGAGGTATAGGGACATTCAGTTAATACTTATTATACACGTATGTAGCACAATGTACCGGCGAGGAATGATTTGCCTAACTCCTGGCCAGCGGGGACCTGGACATCACCGTGGACTTTCTCACGGAGGTGGACAAGCTGGTGCAGCTCATCGAGTCTCCGATATTCGCCTGCGAGTACCCCCCCCCCCCCCCCCCGCCCCACCGAACACTTCATTCTATAAATATTTTTAATTTATACTTTTCTTTTGACTCACCGATCCGACTGAGATCCTTCAGTTGTAGTTGACGTCTCGCCGACAAACTTTATACATATAACAGTAACCAGCTCGTCACCGGTGAGCTCCGTGTTAAACATGAGGACACGTAAACGATACCACCAGTTCTATATTCATACAGAGTTAACCTAACACCACATATGACATACATACACAGACCTGCGTCTGGAGCTGCTGGCCGGCTCCAGGAGCTCGGCGCTGCGCGGTGCGCTCTTCGGCCTGCTCATGCTGCTGCCCCAGAGCGACGCCTTCCACGCGCTGCGCCACCGCCTGCACTGCGCGCCCCTGCAGCCCTGCCTCACGAGGTACGCCCC